TGGAACTGGAGTTACAGACATTTGTGAGCTGCCATGTGGGTGCTGAGCATTGAACCCAGGTCCTCTGGAAGAGCAGCCAGTGTTCTTAACTGCTGAGCCATCTCTCCAGCCCATAGTTTTATATTTTTTACAGGGTGAAAAAAAAACTAGAATTTTGGTAGTACCTTGGTTTAAATATATTCTTCAAAAGTTCATGTGTGAAACATAGCTATACTCCGAGCATTCAGGAGACTAGGAAAGGAGGATTGCTCCAAGTCTGAGGCTAGCCTGGACTACATACAGAGAACTAGGTCAGCTTAGGCTGTATCCAATATGAAACTGTCTTAAAACAACAACAAAAGGTTCATATTCTAGCTCAGGGGCAGAGATCCTGCCTCCCCCATGTGCATCTTGAATTCATTTCTCAGCATCCCCAAAGGAAAAAAATTAATGTGCTATAAACTTAATCCCCAAGCTAATATGTGAACGGCCTGAGGCAGCTAGGGTCTTAAGGAGGTAATTCATAACAGATGAAGTCATGAAGTGGCACCTTCATGTATTGTGGATTGCTCTGCCTCTCCATGTAGTGACCTCCACCATGCTTGACTGCATCAAGGCCCTCCCAGATGCCAAAAGACACCGGCCTGTGTCAGTGGAGTTCTAGCCTAAAGTACTATAAGTTAACTACCCAGTTTTTTTATATTAACTACCCAGTATTTATTATTCAGCAGCAGAAAACATCCCAGGAGAGAAAGTAAACCTTTTTCCAGGTCACACATAATTTCTTTTCAGAATTTCTTCCAGTCTAGGAGACTGGGAGAATGGAGGCAATTGATTCACTTACAGGAATTTAACACTGGAACATCATATCACTGCTAAATGTTATTTAACTACTATAAATGCTTCACTGCTGACCAACAGCATGTCTTTCCTCATGTGATGGTAATGAATAGTTACTAAGACAACAGACAAGAAGTTCATTAAGCATTCACTTGAAGAGGCCAGGGCTTCCCAGGAGACAACTGGCTTGTGAAATCTGACTCTCAGCAGGCTGAGAGCAGTGAAAACAGGGCACATACTGTGACGTTGTGCTACCCACTCAGTAATCATGGCAAGGAAGGAATCAAGCAGTGGTAAGGTGACTTTATAATTCCAAATCACAGCATCAAAATAACAGTTTTTAGAAGAAAGAGAAAAATGGTTAAAATTCTGCTAACAAAACCAAAAAAGCAGATGATCTGATGCAGATAGGATGGATGGCTATCTTAACAGCAATCTATATTACATTCTATTGTGTATAAAATAAAAAGGAAAGAGTTGCCAAGATTGTATTTTTAAGATTACTTAAAAGACAAAACACTATCGGGAAAAAAAAAATCTGTTCCTCTTCAAATTCTTCCCCTCACAATCGCCATCTCCACCCTAAAATTAAAAACCAAGCCAGTAAGAACCAGGGATAAGAAATGTAAATATCTGCTGTTAAAGCCATGTCCATACTAATGTTACACTACAGGCGATCTACCGAATGGTAAGAGCTGCTCAGTAAGTCCCATCCTTTCAATCAAACTATGGGACAGGACTCAGTGTCTGGCAAGCATGTTCAGTGTGGAATCCAACACCTCCTCATGCTTATCTTATTTGCTCAGGAATCTTTGGCACCTAGAAACTGGGACCTAGGAAATGTATTACATATTTGCATTGGGATTCTCTGCTATTACATATTTACAGTGAGACTCTATGTATTACATATTTACAATGAGACTCTGTATTATATGTTTACACTGGGACTCTCTGTATTATATATTTACATTGGGACTCTGTATTATATATTTATATTGGGACTCTCTGCGTTACCTATTTTACACTGAGACTTCCTGTATTACATATTATATTACATATTTATATTGGAACTCTGTACTATATATTTATATTGGGACTCTCTGCATTACCTGTTTTACACTGAGACTCCCTGTATTACATATTTATACTGGGACTCTATATTACATATTTACATTGGGACTCTCTGTATTACATATTTACATTGGACTCTGTTATATATTTAGTAACTTTCCATTCTATACTTATAAGGTTCTTAACCAAACATAAGAACAAGTGCTAATCAACATGCTAGAAATAATGTGTGATTAAATAAAATCACATCTTGATGTGAGATGTAGTTCTATTAACAGACATTGGTGAACTAAATGTTCAAATTAAGAAAATAGGAACAATATTATAAATTTAAAAGCAAAAATAGGAGATTATACCCAGATATCCAGGCTTCACTGCTAGTCAGCACTTCTGTGTATGAAGCATTAACAAAATGGTTGTTTTAATCACACACACATCTGAGGTTCCCTGAATTTTCATCTGCCGTATTTTCTATTCTACAGCTAAGAGGTTCCTCTCCTTTTAGCTGCTGCATTTCTTGCATCCTAAAAACAGGAGGTGATGAGTCACTGGCTAAGGGAACTCAAGGTTGAGATAAAATATCTGTACTTTGCCCTAGGGGTTGCTTCATAAAGACACAGGGGGACTGGTGGCAAAGGACTCTTCCTCATCAAACAGAGCTACTTTCTAATGGTCTCCCCACGGCTCTTTCGCTCTTGCTGAGGCTATCTACCTACAATCATGTGGGGTTCCTTCTGTGCACCTACATTTTGTCAATGTATTGCTAAGCCTCCTGAAAGGGTTTAATACACATCAAGGAAGTGCTTATATCTGATGAAGTAATTAAAAAACTAAGTTAATGTAAGAGTCAAGACTAGAACACATAAGTTTCTATTCCCTGTCTTCTGGTTTTTATTTGTTTCGGGGTCCTGTTGACTAAGCCCATGCTGGATGAGCACTAGCAGCTACATTTGTAACTCCTATCCCATGTTTCGATATTCTCTCAAACTATAAAAGAAACTACAGACTGAAAATTTCTAAATTTCTAAAAGGTTTTGAGATAGGGTGTCACTATGAAGTCCTGGCTGGCCTGGAACTCACCATATCGGCCAGGCTGTCCTGCCTCTATCTTTCTCTCAAAGTGTTCTCTGCTTATTTTTTGTTTTGTTTTGTTTTGTTTTGTTTTGTTTTGTTTTTCGAGACAGGGTTTCTCTGTATTGTTTTGGAGCCTGTCCTGGAACTCACTCGGTAGACCAGGCTGGTCTCGAACTCACGGTGATCCGTGTTCTCTGCTTCTTAAGTACTGGGATTAAAGGCACCTAAAACCATACATGGATAAGGACATTTTTTTAATTTTACATATATTTACTTTGTATGCGCATGAATGTGTATGTCATGATGTTCGTATCAGGGTCGGGGCCAACTTGTGGGGTCTCGTTCTTTTTCTATTATGTCAGTTCTGGGGCTAGACCTCAGGTCTTCTCACCTGCTCAGAAATTTTCCTAACTCTGACATTAGCTCACCAAACTGTGTTAGGACTAGCATTACCTCAGTCCTAGTTATGCACTGGTACTGTGTCTGAACGGTGTACAGTTAAGCTCTGAGCAGCCCTGACAGCTCCCGGGTGTTCCTAATAACTGTAACTGGTTTTGGTTACTCTCTTTTCAAGACTGTCTTTTTAGGAATTCAACACCATGTAAACACCTGAGAGCTCTGTTTTGATTTATTTTTCCCTGCATGTATATGTGGTTTGGGTTTCTGGGCCTCTCATGGAATAGCAAGATGAACACTGGTGGCACATCACAAGTCTCTTCAAACCTAAGAGCCCTAATTCACCCAATTAGTCAACGTATCTGCAAATGGTGTGTTCTGCAGGCTTCCAGGACATGAGGACACCCTTAAATGCACAAGCTTAAAGGATCTTGTGACTTATAACAAACTCAAAGATGGTCGTTAATGGCTTTCCTGTTCCATAACAGCGTTGGGTCTGCAAAGTAGACTGTGACATATGGAAGAAAACCTGGGACTGTTGAAACAAAGCTACAGCTCTAAATGTCACAATTAAAATACTTTCTTATAGGGTTTCAGAAAATTTATATATGCATATATAATGTTTGTTTTTCTGAGACAAAGTCTCTTAGTCCAGGAGAGCCCCAAAGTCACTGAGAATGACCTTGAACTTCTGATCCTTTTGCCTCTACCTCCCAAATTCTGGGATTAGAGATCTGGTTCATGTGGAGCTAGGGCCTCGTGTATGCTAGGCCAGCACACTACCAAATGAGCTACTGTCTCTCCCCAGCCTTCCATATGTTTAATTTACTCAAATTTCTTTAATAAAGTAGAAATAGCTTTATCATGAATTAAAACGTAGTCAATTGTATTTGTAATGGGGATAATAAAACTGATCAATTATGCAGAGATGATCTCCCTGGGGAATCCAAGGCCACATGCATGCTGAGACTCAGTGACTGTCAGATCAATCTCCTCTTAAGAGAAAGCATTCAAATGGGTATTGACAACTACAAGATTTCCAAATAAAGTCTAAGAATCACTGTGGTGGGTGGGGGTTGGAGCTGACAGCAGATATTTGTGAAAATAGGACAATCTCCAGGGAACAGTCAAAGACAGTAAACTGGAAGAAAACAGAAAGGAAGAAGCCAAAGGCAAACACAGCTGGGGCAGCCAGCTACTACCTATCCCATGGCATGGGTCAACTGAATACGGCTAGCTGAGGAACATAACACAACTACTATTTGTCCTGGATGCTGTCTTTTCTAACCATTAAAAGTTCAATGAGAGATGGAGTACCAAAAACCAACATTTAGAACATAAATATTTGGGTATGGTGGCACATGCCTTTAATCCCAACACTGGGGAGACAGAAGCAGGCAGATCTCTGTGAGTTTGAGGCCAGCCTGGTCTACAGAGTGAATTCCAGTCAGCTAGAGCTATATAGTGAGGACCCTGCCTCAAAAAGCCAACAACATATATAAATAAAATAAAAACAAACCTGTTTCTAGAGTTTAAAGATTATAAAAGTTTTAATTTTTACAAAACTTTCCAATAAGAACTAAATTCAAGCACTAAGGAAAAGACAAAACAATATTCTATAAAATAGTATAAATGTTTACCTCTTGTTTTTCTTGATTTGGGTCCACAGTAAGTAAAGTTGGTATTTTAGGTGAATCTGTTTTCTTTGACTCTCTCTTCAGCACTTTTATCTGTTTAACTTTTGAAAAAAAAAGAAAAAATAAAGAGGGGGAAAAAAAAGTAATTTGTTGGCCTGCCCACCTAGAAACTATCGTTTTAAGGCGTTCAGGTTGGTACTCTAACTGCCAGTAAGCCCACTTTTGAAGTTAGCTGCAAAGGAACTGGCACCTCTAAGTTGTAAAATATGGTACCGTTTATTTCACAATCTCATCAAGCAGGTCTATTATTTTTACTGAGAGGCCCTCATGTGGCACATGTTCTACACCTAGCTACTGCATCACATTTTCATAAGGTCTGTTTTCCAAGGAAAGGAAAGAACATTTGCTCACATCAATACATTTCATCTTAAGATAAATATCTGTTTAATTATTACATTCCATTTATCATTCCTTTGTTTATTGAAATGAGGCCAATCCTCTCCTTATACAATGTGAATCCCATGGTCAAACTCAGGTCATCAAGGCTTAGCATCAAATGCCTTTACCTGCTAAGCTGCCTCTCCAGCCCTTAAATTAAATCTTAAGATTATGATAAATTTTAAATGTATAAAATCTACCCAATGTCAGCATGCCCAAAGCATCTATAACACTTTTGGGCAAACAACCAGGGAAGGTGCTTTTCTACAGGTTATACACTGGACCAAATTCATCTTCCTCAAATTCTGCCCTGCATCTCAACACCAAGCTAATAAAATGTCTGCCCTCTGGAGCTGTCTTTACCTGTCTTTGAAATTATCTCTATTAAGCCAGGCAGTCTCAGCACTCCAGAGGCAGAGGCAGGAGACTCTGTGTGAGTATCAGGAGAGATACATAATGAGACTGTCTAAAATAAAACAAAACAAAACATCTGACCCTTTACTTAACTATAAAAGAAAGAAGTCTTATCAATGGAATTTATTTTTTCAAACCAATTTACTACTTTCTACAAAGATCACATGCAAGGTACCTTACAAAAAGAACCACCCAGCCAGGCATTGGTGGTGCACATCTTTAATCCCAGCACTCGGGAGGCAGAGGCAGGTGGATCTCTGCGAGTTCAAGATCAGCCTGGTATACAAGAGCCTAGTTCCAGGACAGCCTCCAAAGTCACAGAGAAATCCTGTCTCGAAAAACAAAACCAAACAAAGAAAAGTCCCACCCCTTACTCATGTCACCTGCAGAGCATTGTGGAGTTGCACACCACGAGGTACCCACCTTCCATTCCTTTCATTTCCTTCGCCTGTATTGTGAATGGCAGTTCAGGGAAATGGAATTCTTTCCTGTCACATCTGGGAAAATTCAGCTTTCTTTTGTTTCCACTTGCCATTTGATCACTCTGGCCTACTCGATCATTAAATATGTTCTTCTCTGCTTGGCTCTAGACAAACAGGTACCAGTTAGCATGAAGAACCAATGTAAAACTAACCATAGAAACACAAACCTAGATGTGCTGGCTATTTGGATAATGGAAAACAGTTCCAGTGATTATCTTAACAATTAAAAAATAGAACAGAACCAAGTATGTTAGACAAGCCTGTAGTCCCAGCACTTGGGAAACAGGTAGAAGGATCTCTAGTTCAAGGCCAGCCTAGGATACATAGTGAGACCCTGTTTCAAAGAAAACAGAAGCAAAAACAAACACACAAACCAAAAGTACAGAGCACCACCACACATAAGTAGACCAGACACCCTGCAATGTTTCCCAAGCAAGGTTTTCAGTCCTTAGTATTCTTGATTTTTAGAACCACAACCCTTTTGTTTTGTTTGTTTTTGTTTTTGAGACAGGTTTGGGTTCTTTGTGTAGCCTTGGCTGTCTTGGAACTGTATAACAGGTTGGCCTCGAACTCACAGAGGTCCTCCTACTCCTGCATCCCCAACACTGGGATTAAAGGCTTGTGTCACCACTGCCTTGGATAACTTGTAACTTTTAATATTATTTGCTTCAACCTGACTTTGGACAACTGCTTCAGCTAATGTTATCAATAATAAATTTTTCTATTTATGAAATGATATGCTTTATGAGCCCCGGGACACTCCAATGGAAAAAGAAATGTGTATACATGTACCATCTGGAAAACCTTTTATGTTACCTATTTTTGGATACTGGATCATAACAACTTTTTAAAATTTTTATTTATTTATTCCATATACATTGTTCCTGCACTCCAGAAGAGGGCAACTGATCTCATTATAGATGGTTGTGAGCCACCATGTGGGTGCTGGTACTTGAACTCAGGACCTCTGGAAGAGCAGCCAGTGCTCTTAACCTCTGTGCCATCTCTCCAGCCCCTAAAAACTTTTTTTCCTTTTTTTTGAGATAGGATGCGTCAAGGCTTGAATTCCTGATTCTTCTAACTCCACCTGATATTACAGGTGTGCACCTGGCTCAGGTAGGGCTATGGATGAAGCTCAGGACTCTGCCTGCTGAGATACCTTCATAGCTTTCTTGGTAGTGGTAAGATGGGACAGTAGGTATAGATGCTTGCTATCAAATCTGGTGATTTGAGTTCCATCCTTAGAAGCCACAAAGTAGAAGTAGAAACTGACTCCCACAGATTGTTCTCTGCCTTCCACATGCATGTCCCCCCAAATAAATAAATGCAATAAAAAACTTTTCTAAAACAGTGAACACTTTTTCACAGTGTAAGATGCAGCACCACATCACACAAATGTACCCTGGTATACTTCAGAAACTATCAGCTCTTACACAAGTCTGTGTTGTTTTTTATATTTTATTTATTTTGAGTCAGGGTCTCACTATGTAGCCCTGGCTATCCAGGAACTCGATCTATAGAACAGGCTGGTCTCAAACTTAGAGATCATCCTGCCTCTGCCTTCTGAGTGCTGGGATTAATGTTGTGCACCACCACAACAGGATGTTTTCAATTTTATATTATTATAAATAATGTTGTGCCTTGAATGTAATAAATGGATTACACTATGTAAAGAAATGATGAGAAAAAAAATAAAGACATGGTTAACATTTCTAAAGCAAGGAAACTACATCTATTTGGCAAGTGTTTTTAATCCATAAAGATAATTTTTGTTTTGTTTTGTTTTTCCAGTCAGGGTTTCTCTGTGGCTTTGGAGGCTGTCCTGGAACTAGCTCTTGTAGACCAGGCTGGTCTCGAACTCACAGAGATCCTCCTGCCTCTGCCTCCCAAGTGCTGGGATTAAAGGCATGCACCACCACCTCCCGGCAAGAATCCATATTGTAATGACTAGCGTCTTGCCTTACTTGCGTGGGACCTGTGTCCTCTTGTTTGCTATTAGACAAAGTTTGTCCAATAGTTTGTGAAGAAGTGCGCCTCTTTTTTGCTCTTTCAGTTAACCTATTAATTAAAAATAAAGAAGTTATTAGAACCTTCAATAATTGCCCTTGCTTTAGCTTTAAGAACAAATAAATTGCCAGGTGGTGGTGGTGGTGCATGCTTTTAATCCCAGCATTTTGGAGGCAGAGACAGGCAGATCTCTGTGAGTTCGAGGCCAGCTTGGTCTACAGAGCTAATTTCAGTACAGTTAGGGCTGTTGTACATGGAAACCTGTCTGGAAAAATAAAGAAAAGGAAAAAACAAAAACAAAAACAAAACACACACACACAAAACAAGTAAGTTATAATAGGTGGATCTGGAACCCTGGCATTCAAGTGGCTGGTTCAGGGTTGTTAATTTAAGGACATCCTGGGCAATATAACCAGGCCCTAGCTTATGAAAAAGATTTATGCCATGGTACTGTTAGAACACTGAGTGTCAAAAAGCAATTGTCAGTTCTGAGAACTCTAGGGACAGAACAACTAACACATGGCTAACTGCTGGTGAAAATCATGTCATCAAGTTACTCTTATGGCCCATCTGCTCCCTTGTATCTGTTCTAAACTTGGATCATGTAACCTCTGGAGTTCTCAATTGCTGTCTGAGACTGGATTAAACGATGGTTACTGTAGTGTGGCTTGAGGGTCACTTCAAGAACATATTGAATTACTGCAGCCTATGGCCTAATGTACCTTTGAACTACACAGACATATCCACTAGCCTATATTTACAGACCACTCATCTTTACAATCTGTAGCCTAAATCAGTCTGTGAGGATCTAGTTAAGGCACCTCATAGTGTAAGTTTGCTAAGAGACCTAATGCCTTCACTGTTCATTACCAGTCCCCACATTAAGCAGACTCAGTATCAGTCTCTCAATCTACAACAGAAGCTAGTTCTAAAACTGGCCTGATATACCATTTCCTTACCAAAATACTTAACACTGAAAGGCTATTTGCCATGAAAGACTAATTTTGAACTATTCTTCTTTCATTGAGAGACACTGCTGTGAGGCAGAAATAAAGCTTACTTTGCAGTGCTGAGTGCTAAGGTTAGATATGGTTTGGCCTCCAATGGTCCACATACTGGAAGCTTGTTCCCAGTGGGCAGGGTTGAGAACCTGTAAGTGGTGAGGACTCTCAGAAAGGAGATGACTAAATCTCAAGATGGATTGGTGACTGTTCTCCTTAGGAGGCATTCTTGCACTTGAAGGATGCTCCATAAAAGAGGGTCTTTATAAGGATCCTGGCATCTCCCCCAAACTCTCTCTCTTCCTTGTCTGCACATAAGTCATTCCTACAGGTGATCAGTTTCCTGCCTCCTTCTCTACTATACTGTGACACAGTCAACGAGCCCTTGCCAGAGCAGTGGCAACCATGCTGCTGGCCTCTCCAGCCACTATGTCTATGAGCCAAGCAAACCTCTTTTCTTTATAAAGACTCCCACGTCTCAGTTATTTTGTCATAGCAATACTAAGTGGAATAACACAAGGACATAGATGCAAAACTTAAGTCAAATCACCCCTTTTCTCTTAAAATAGAAGATATTTCTTTTAAAAGGATATTCCAGGCCAGGGTTGGATAAATGGCTCAACAGTTGAGAGCCCTGGTTGTTTTTCCAGAGGATCTAGGTTCAATTCCCAACACCCACACGACAGCTCACAGCTGTCTGTAATTCCAGTTCCAGGGGACCTGATAGCCTCATACACACATACATGCAGGCAAAACACCAATGGACATAAAATAAAAATAAATTCAATCATTAAAAAAAAGTTCCAGGCTCAGCAGTAAAGAGTGGGTATTGTCCACGCAGAGGATGTGGGTTCAGTTTGCAGCACCCACACTGGGTGACTCACAAGGACTTATAACCCCATCTCCAGGGGATCTGATACCCTGTGGCCTTCATAGACACTGAGTGAATGTGGTGCACATAAGTATACTCAGGGACACATACAAACATAAAATAAATATCTTTAAAGCTATCCCAAAGATACCAGTAAACAATTAAGACAACTAAATTTGTTGTGGTGGTACACATTTGCAATTCAGTCACTGAGGAGCCTGAGGCTGGCAGACCATGTGTATGTAGGAGGCCAGCTTGGGTCACACAGCCAAGTTCCAGGCTAGTCTGGGCTCTATGGCAATTTGTCTCAAACAAAACAAAACAAAAACAAAGCCGGGAATTGGTGGTGCACGCCTTTAATCCCAGCACTCCGGAGGCAGAGGCAAGTGGATCTCTGTAAGTTCGAGACCAGCCTGGACTACCAAGCGAGTTCCAGGACAGCCTCCAAAGCCACAGAGAAACCCTGTCTCGAAAAAACCAAAAAGAAACAAAAACAAAAACAAAAATACCTATATTTCTAAGAAAAAATTTCTCATATGGCATTCCCAAAATCTACTCAGTGAATGCCCTGCTACATGACTACAATTTCAACAGATCTTTTTCAAATTCAGTCTACACTGACACTATAGAAGTAACTCTTTGAAATGCTGTCATACAGAAAACTGTTTTACTTAGGTCTCCTCTCTGCCCCAGCTCACCGTGAATTGGGGTGGGAGAGGTTTGAATTGAGATTTGCAGCCATCAGATTACTGCTTGTCAGGTTGATGGGTGGCATCATCATACAACCTCCAGTATGCAGGTCTTCACTGACACCATCAGAGTTCGTGCTGGGATTGACAGGGTTTGGCACTTCAGCGACGGCAGGCTTTCTATCCTGAGACAAAGTGTGCATGTCCTCAGCTGTGCCCTGCTGGCGGTGTTCACCTTCACACTCTATCTTTTTCAGGTCTGGGACGTCTCCTTTCCCTCTGACTTTAATAACTCTGACTTTGATCTCCTTGGGCTTTTTGTCTTTGTCCATTTCCTGAAACAGGAATGTTGAGAATCTGAGTCATGAGAGACCTAACTATGATGTAACTACACAGGCAAAAACAAAAAGCCAGAAGCAGCTCACCTTTCCATAGAGTGGCATGTTTCCATAAAGCAGAGTGTTGGTAAAAACCGGTTTCCTCTCATCTCTCACGGGTTCATTTTCTTTAAAATTCTCTTTTGGCTTTACGAAGGAATTAACCTTTGCTTCTTGTAATAATTTAGCTCTCAGCTCTGGTAAGAATCTGATGAATAAAGCAATATTTATCAATCATCTTTTCACTTACATAGAATCATTTAATGAATCATAAACAATGCTATAAAATAGTTGATACCAAGAAATAGTACCATTTGATATTTTTTTCTGACAGGATACCACTGTAGCCCATGTTGGTATCAAGCATAAAATCCTCCTGCCTCAACTTCCTGAGTGCCAGGATGACAGGTGTCATCATACCTGGCCAAGATGGTGTAATAACTTACCTAACAATAATTGTGTGCAGGCAACAGATCTTTTGGACATTTTGCTATGGAAATCTACCACATAAAACTTACAAAACAGGCCAGGTGGTATGCATGCCTTTGATCCCAGCACTTCGGAAGCAGAGGCAGACGGATCTCCAAGTTTGAGGTCAGTGTGGTCTAGAGAACTAGTTCCGGGATAGCCAGGGCTACATAAAGAAGCCTGTCTTGAAAAAAATTATAAAACAGACTTATATTAGATTCCCTTTGAGAAGTGAATCTAATGCAATATCAACTTGAGCTTTGATAGAGAACCTGTTTGTGTCTCTGGGCTTACAAAGAATTCCTTTTTTAGCACTAGTGTTAGGTAGCTCACAACTGCCCACAACTCCACCTCCAGGGGATCTAATGTTCTAACTTCCATAGGTACCACACATGTGCATACACACATAAACAAAAATAAAACAAATCCTTCATCCTTGTATTAAGTATGACCTCTGGTCTGAGATGAGGCTGCAATTGTAGAATGGGATCTTGGTACACTGCCTACAATCCCATGTCTCTGTAACGAATGCTGCTGCAATTACTTGCATAACTCTTTCATCTACATCACCTGCTAGACTACTACGTCCTGATCAATACCTGACAGAGTAGCTCCATTAGGTTTCTGTTTAGTTGAATATTTTTGCTTTGTAACATTATTCTATTTAGTGATTCCCCACTAGTACCCTGATAAAAGAGTAGAAAGACCACACAGGCTTACTTCTCAATAAATCCATCTCTAGTAAAGTAATCATGGTGCAAAAGATCAGTAGATGATATCCTCTCTGCAGGGTCAATTTGTAAACAAGCCTGGAAGAGAAAGAGGTTTAATAAAAGATAAGCTTTGGGCTCTGCCTCTAAAATTAAGACTTTAACAGGGTAAAAAAATTGATTTGACACCTGACAAAGTAATTAATCAGAACTAACAGAGTTTGTGAATAATAAAGAAAAAAGAAATTTGCCTTGTTTTGATGCCGTTTTATTGAGACAGGGTTTCTCTATGCAATATCCCTGGCTGTTCTGAAACTCACTTTGTAAACCAGGCTGACCTCAAACTCAGAGATCTGCCTGAAATACACAGATTTCTAACTACATTCTGACCATCTATTTACCTAAGAAATGTATTCTCATGGTGTAGGGAGAAGGGACCAGTCAAAGAAACACACCCTGAGCAGAGCCAAAGGAACACACTTTGGCCCTGCAACCAGAACCAAAGAAATGTACCCTGACCCTAAAACCAGTGCCAAAGGAACACACTTTGTCCCTGGAATCAGAGTCAGTGAAAGAAATGCACCCTGGCCCTAAAATTGGAGCCAAAAGGCTAAAAAGGACCAGAGAAAGAAACATACTTTGGCCCTGAAACCAGGGCCAAATCTGACCCTAATCCTGTGCAGAAAACTAACCAATCCTCGAGCAGAGCTCTAGCCAATCTGAGCTCAGCACTGAAATCAGACCAATACCTACCCTGGAAAAACTTCCCCAAGAGCAGGGCTGTAACACTTGCCCGGGAAACCTTCCCTTGGCAGAGCGGAGTTGTTACACTCCCTCCCAGCTCTCTGCTCTCTAGGAGCAGAGATGAACTATAGCAACTTCGCCAGAGAAACCTCCTGCCCCTCCTGCCGAGCAAAACTGCTACAGTAGGCGAACATCCCCTGCTCACTCTGCTCCACCACCGCCACAAAAGAAGATCTTCACCCAAAGCTCATCCAAAGGGGTTTATTGGAAGGAAACAGCTGGACCAGCCAAGCTGAACATACACAGGGTTTACATTGGGACTCTAAGTAACTACTTAGACTGTCCCTATAACAATGAAGACAGGATTTGAATAAAACGCATCTGCTTTATAAAATGCATTCTTCCTCAAGAAAAGACACTTTCCCTGCACTTCTCTACAGTTCACATCACAGCACTGTCACCCTGTCTACATCAAAGAAGACCCAGCCCCACAGATGTTAAATCATCTAAGATCTTCCAAACTTGTAATTTCATTATTTGTTGGGGAGGAGGCATAGCACATGTATGGAAGTCAGAGGACATCACTGTGGAGTTGACTTTCTCTTTCCATGGTTATGTGAGTTCCTGGGAAGAAACTCAGGTTACCAGGCTTACACAACAAGCCCCTTGACATGCAGACCCGTCTTGCTGGCCCTTGCCTAAGATCTAATGTAGAGGGACCAGAATTAAAATATGAAATGTGCTTCTGCTATCTTCAATATGCACAGTATGAACTAATAATTCTATAGCTCTACTGTACAACAGTATGCACCGGGTTTTAACTACTGCTCCTTAAGAATGCTGAAAAGGGAGACTGCACGCTACGTGTAGAAATTCACCAAGTAAAACTATGTCTGTGTGGTGTATGTGCTCATGTGTGCAGCTCTGTATACACAGGTGGAGACCAAATTTTGATGTTAGGTCTTTTCCTCCATCACTCTCCACCTTAACTCTTTGAGATCCTCTCTCACTAAACCAGAGGTTCACTAATCCCACATCTGACAGGGGGCTGATCTCCAAAATTTAAAAAGAACTCAAGAAACAAGTCTCCAAAACACCAAAGGATCCAATTAAAAAGTGGGGTACAGAACTAAATAGAGAATTCTCAATAGAGAATCTAAAGTGGCTGAGAGACATTTGAGGAGAAAGTGCTTAACATCCTTAGCCATCAGGGAAATGCAAAACAAAACAAATCTGAGATACCATCTCACTCCCATCAGAATGGTTAAAATCAAAAACAGTTTATGCTGGAGAGGATGTAGAGAAAGGGGAACACTCCTCCAATGCTGGTGGGAATGCCAACTTGTGCAGTCACTTTGGAGATCGGTATGGAGATTCCTAAGGAAAACGGAAATCAGCCTACCACAAGATCCAGCAATTCCACTCTTAGGTATATATTCAAAAGATGTAAACTCATACAATAAGGACATCTGCTCAACTATGTTCATAGCAACATTATTTGTAATAGCCAGAACCTGGAAGCAAACTAGATGGCCCTCAACTGAAGAGTGGATAGAGAAAATGTGGTACTTCTACACAATGGAGCACTACTCAGCAGAAAATAAAAATGGAATCTTGAAATGTGTAGGCAAATGGATGGCACTATAAGAAACCATCCTGAGTGAGGTAACCCAGTCACAAAAATACAAACATGGTATGCATTCACTCATATATGTATTTTAGACATGGAGCAAGGGATTGCCAGCCTACAATCCCACTTCCAGAGAGTCTGGGAAGCAGGGAGGACCCTAAGAGAGATATGCATGGTGACCTAGAGAAGGGTTATGGAAGGAGATCTCCTAATTGGATTGGGAGCAGGGGGGAGGAGAGGGGAGAAGGAGATGGGAGAAAGAGAGAGGGAGAAGAGGAGGGGAGAAGAGGACACGTGGGGAGCAGGAAGGCTGAACCAGGGCAAGAATAGAGGAAAGAAGGATGAAAGATATCATAATAGAGGGAGCCATTATAAGTTGGAGGAGAGATCTGGCACTAGTGAGATCTTCACAGAGCTACAAAAATACACCACCTGGCATTAAGGCTACCTTAAATGCCCTCCCCTGATAATGAGATTGATGACTACCTTATATGCCATCCTAGAACCCTCATCCAGTGGCTGATGGAAGCAGAGGCAGACACCCACAGCTAAAAACCACACTGAACTCCTGGAACCCAGTTGCAAAGAAGAGTGATGAGCAAAGGAATCAAGACCAGGCTGGTAAAACCCACAGAGGCAGCTGACCTAAACAAGGGGGAACGCATGGACCCCAGACTGATGACTGAGGGGCCAGCATGGGACTGATCCAGACACCCATTCCTCCCCAACCTAGGTGTTATAGAGGAGGCCTCGGCAATTTATGGGACCTTGGAAAGTAGAGCAGTATTTATTCCTGGCATACAAATGGACTCTGGGAGCCCATTCCACAGGAGGGATGCTTTCTCAGCTTGGACACATGGGGAAGGACCTAGGCCCTGCCCAGGATTATATGATAGACTCTGAAAATCCCTCATAGAAGGCCTTACCCTCTCTGGGGAGCAGAGAAGAGATGGAGTGGGATGGGGGGTTGGGAGGAATGGGGGCTGGGGGAGGAGGGGAGGGAGAGGGAACTGAGAGTAACATGTAAAAAGTTAAATAAAAAATTATTATATATATAAAAAACAATTTAAAATTTTAAAAATAAAATAAAAATAAATCTTAAAAAAAGAATGCAACACATCTTTGCATCATTAAACAAATATTCCACAGCAGAAACGAATGTAACACATCTTAAACTAATATTCCACAACAATGGTCATACAACCCTCATCTAGAAATAAGCACCTCACTCCTGGTATAGGAAACAGGCTAGTTAGAGAAATAAAATCAGATTTGCTATTCATAGTAAACCCACCTTACATTTTTGAATTTTGTACTGTGTTCATATGCTACCTAGTTTAAATATAATTTAAAATTTAAGAAATAAAGGCCTGGGAGATAGCTCAGTTGATAAAGTGCCATGTAAGCTTCAGGACCTGAGTTTAGATATCATGGCTAAATGTATCTGTAACACAGCATTAGTGAAGAGGAGACAGATGGATTAAACTAATTGGGCATTAGCTCTAGATTCACTAAAAGGCATGTAAGTCTCCTCTCTTTCCTGTATCCCTCCCTCTATACTCCCTACCCTGCCCCCAAGCTGGGTATTGAACTCAGGCCCTCATGAATGTTAGTCAATTATGTACTATACCTCAGAAAGAGATTCTGTCTAAACAATAACAACAAAGCATGGCAAGTTTCAGGGAAGAACACCTGACACCAAGTTCCGGCTTCTAGAAATACATGCATACAAGATGCACCTATGTGCACACACACTCATACTATCAAGTATGCATACTGCACATACAGTACACAAACCAACACACACACAGTACACAAACCAACACACACACACACACACACACACACACACACACACACCTCTTAAAATGTTTGTGTTTCCGTGCAGAGTGGTGGTGGTGCATACCTTTAAACCCAGCACTTGGGAGGATCTCTGAGTTCAAGGCCAGCCTGATCTACAGAGCAAGTTCCAGGACAGGCTCCAAAACTACAGAGAAACCCTGTTTTGAAAACAACCAAGAAAAAGTTTGCATTTTCTCTAATGTGTGAATTTGGGTGCTGTTGTACCCTCAGCATTCGAATGGTAATTGTCAACAGTTGCCTCTGTAGAAAGTTAGGGTAACACAGGACAAAAAAAAGCCCTAGTCTGGTAGACCAGATGCTGAAGGTGGTGGGAAATATGGAAAGTCCTTCAAGTGTTCCCAATTTACCCCTCAGTTTCTTACATTTAAATTCTATTATTTCTACATAATATGTAACATGTTAATAACACTTTAGGAGTCTTTCTGGAATCTCTTTCTTTTTTAGGTTTCTCTGTATTGTTTTAGAGGCTGTCCTGGAATTCACTCTGTAGACCAGGCTGGCATGGAACTCACAGAGATCTGCCTGCCTCTGCCTCTGGAGTGCTGGGATTAAAGGTGTGCGCCACCGCCGGACTTGGAATCTCTTTCAAGTGTGGCTCAGTGGTAGAATGCTTGCCCAGCTGTGGACTCCATTTGTAATACCAAAGAGAAGAAAAGACTCCATATTATTATGATTTTTGCAAATTCTTAGTCATTCTTTACGTCTTAACATACATGAACTATATCTGCCAGCAATCCATTGAGCTTTGGGTATTTCTTTCTTGCATTTTTTGGATGTTGAACTTGAGGAAGAACCACCCCGGCAAAGATGGGACTCTTGGAAAAGATATTGTGCAGGTGCGGGGTCAGGTTGCCTGCAAAGAGAAGGAAGTGTCTGAGTCATGAAACGGCTTCAGTGGAAATCCCATGTGATATGCTCAATTATGAATGTGAAGAAAAGGAAGAGCACCAGTTTGTACTTTACAGTGAAAGAAAAAATCTATATCATAAAAACAGAGGTTCTGGGTTAGGAACACAGCTCTGCAGTAGAGTGTTTGTCTAGCAAGTGTGAAGCCTTGGTTCAATCCCCAGCTCTGTAAAAAAATTACATAAGTTTTAAACACTGAGGTTTCCTCCATAAGCTGCTGACAGGTACATAAAGCCATATGGTTCTTTTACCCCCAAATCCTAAGACATATATAATTACCAGCAAAAGTACTTTAAAAAAATTTTTTTTGGTTTTTCGAGACAGGGTTTCTCTGTATTGTTTTGGAGGCTGTCCTGGAACTCACTCTGTAGACCAGGCTGGCCTCGAACTCACAGAGATCCGCCTGCCTCTGCCTCCTGAGTGCTGGGATCAAAGGCGTGCGCCACCAATGCCCGGCTAGTACTTTAAAATTTAACATGTTTCTCTACTTATATCTTAATGGTTTAATTGTCAGGTGTTCACCAGCCTTACAGACTGAAACCTTACTCAAAACAGCTAAAACAGCCGGGCTGTGGTGGCGCATGCCTTTAATCCCAGCACTCGGGAAACAGAGGCAGGCAGATTTCTGAGACCAGCCTGGTCTGCAAGAGCTAGTTCCAGGGCAGCCTCCAAAGCCACAGTGAAACCGTCTCAAAAAAAAAAAAAACAAAAAACAAATAAACAACAACAACAACAACCCCAGCTAAAACAATAAAGCCAGGTGGTGGTAGCATACAACTTTAATCCTAGCATTCAGCAGGCAGAGGCAGAAAGGAATGTTTGAATTCAAGACCAGCCTGGTCTACAGAGCAAAGAAAAAACACAGTAAAATAATTCAGAAACCAAAGTATGGTATAGAAGAATAGTGGTTCTCAACTTGGGAGTTATGACCCCTTGGCGTTCTTGTAGGACCATTTCACAGGGGTTGCCTAAAACCATTAGAAAACAGATATTCACATTACAGTAGTGAAATTACAGTTATGAAGTAACAATGAGGTAATTTTATGGTTGGGGGTCACTGCAACATGAGGAACTGTATTAAAGGATCACACCATTAGAAGGTTGAGTACCACTAGTCTAGAAGAAAGACCAACAGCAGCCCCAGAGTGCAAAGAACTGTGAACATTAATGGAGACTACGCTCTGGCACCTTTCCCTACCACTAATAATGTGCCATGGAGCGAATCTCTTCATCATGTATGGCTTGGTTCCCTTTGTAAGATGACAGGGTTAGTGTTATCACCTCCAAGCTCTCTTCTAACACAGTCTCATAACAGGTCTTTAAAAAGGCACATAAAGTAGATGCTTCAAGGCTCTGTCTGACTTTTATTAATCTTAAATCATCTTCAATCAATGTTAATCCAGGTTTTACTGCTTTAATGACTGTTCACAGTACCGTCTTCATCAGAATCCTGCAATTATGTGTTTATGAAGAGTTTCCCCAGCACACTTGGGGCTCCTCAAGCTCCAACACCATGTGCAAAACTACTAAAATGTTTAGGTAGTTATGGTGATCAGTGTTAATTGTCAATCACCTGGAAGCCTCAGGGCACGCCCTGGGGAGTTATCTTGATTGCATTAATTGGCCTCTTCCTGTGGATGGCAACTCCCTGGCTGGGTCCAGGAGGAAGGGAGCCAAGCAACATGAATGTATTTGTTACTCTCTGTTCCTGATTGTGGCTGTGATGTAATCAGGCCCTCAAACTCCTGCCATGATTTCTGCACCAAGATGGACTGTAACCTGGGGCCATGAGCCAAAATAAACCTGATGGCCCTTAAACTGCTTTATCAGATATTTTATTAGAGCAACAGGAAAAGCATCTAAGACAGGAGTTAAAACAGATTGTAAGATAATTAAACTCTTATCAAGTATACTCTTAAATTTTACTTTTCATCAACTTATTATTAAATACATTATTTAACTACATGGTTTTCTACTGTGGGTTTGTGGTGGTTGTTGAAAAAGAGGATGATTTAAGGGGACTGGAAGAGGTCCCTCAGGGGTTACAGGCATGCTGCCCTTCCAGAGGATCCAAGTTTGGTTCCCAGCACCCACGTGTGGTGGCTTACAGTTGACTGCTGTAACTCCAGCTCCGGGGGATCTGACACCTCTGTCTCTGGGCTCCAGCACTTAATGCACATACCCACACACAGATGCACACACATACACACCATTAAAACAAATCCATTTTAGTAAAAAGAGAATTAGCAAATAATTGATTTTCTATCTCCAATACTTTTAAAAAGCATATGACTCAAATTTGTTACTGAAAAGCCCTTGTTTAGAAGAGCAATATTTGGGCTCCAAAACAATACAGAGAAACCCTGTCTCGAAAAAACCAGAAAAAAAAAGAAGAGCAATATTTGCAGAGGCCAACTATCAGTTCTAGAACAGCACAACTTTTAGAAAAATTGTAGTACTGGAGTTGGAGATTTAACTCAGTGAAGTATACCACTATTGTACTACTTTTCTTAGCAACAATGATTAACAAGTGACTCTGAGGTCCTCCAGAGAAAATATTACTTGTCACAACAATTTTTTGCCTTGTTTGTCAGCATGGAAACCCATCTGCCATCACCTGTCTCACAAGGCTCTTCCTTAGTGTTCATTCCCTAAACATGAGCATCAAGTATAACTGATCTGGAAGCAGTTACTTAGACATATAACAGAGTATTGCAGTAATACCTACCTACTTTTAAAACAATCTTGTGGAGCAAATCCAAATCTGAACTGCTAGGAAGGTAGGGATTGCCAGTGGCCATCTCAATTATCATACAGCCCAAAGCCCAGATGTCCACTGGTCTGGAAAAAAAGAAAAACACAGTAAATTACTTTGTTAGGCACAAATATGTATGATAATTAGTCTAAAAACATTTTACATCAGATCACAGTTAAAGAGTAAGAATGAAGTGGGGAAAGAGAACAGAAACTAAGGGCAGATGAACATGATTAAAGTGCTCATGCAAGAAAATGTTGCAATATATGCCATTATGTTATTTGATTACTACAACCAAAAAAGGGGGAGAGCCATAAGTGATGGTGGCATGCCTTTAATCCCAGTACCAGGGAGGCAGAAACAGGCAGATATCTGTGGTTTTGAGGGCAGCTTGGTCTACATATTGAGTTCCAGGACAGCCAAGGCTATATAGTGAAGCCCTGTCTCAAAACCAGGGAAGGGGGAGTGATAATTTTTTTGGGGGGAGGGTCGAGTCAGGGTTTCTCTGTGTAGCTTTGGAGCCTATCCTGGCACTCACTCTGTAGACCAGGTTGGTCTCAATCTCATAGAGATCTGCCTGCCTCTGCCTCCCGAGTGCTGGGATTAAAGATGTGTGCCACCAACATCCAGCCATTTTTTTTTGTTTTGTTTTTTCGAGACAGGATTTCTCTGTATTGTTTTGGAGGCTTTCCTGGAACTCGCTCTGTACACCTGGCTGGCGCCTCGAACTCTGGCCTCAAACTCATAGAGATATGCCTGCCTCTGCCTCTCAAGTGCTGACATTAAAGGTATGTGCCACCAACACCCAGCTTCAGCCTATTTTTTTTTAAGATTTATTTATTACATATACAATGTTCTGCCTGCATGCATGCCTTCAGGCCAGAAGAAGGCACCAGATCTCATTACAGATGGTTGTGAGCAATCTTGTAGCTGTTGGGAATTGAACTCAGGATCTCTGGAAGAACAGCCAGTGCTCTTAACAACCACTGAGCCATCTCCAGCCCCAAGGGACAATGTTTAAGTGGTATTATTTACAAATTTTCACTGTAGGATATTCATTAATTATGAGAATGTGCTTCTTTTTGAGCCATCTGGAACAGCACAATTTTTAAAAAATCATGACTTTCTGTCTTTATAAGAAAAGTGTCAAAAAAAGTGTCACTTTTTCCAACATCCTATTTATTTATATAATTTACTTTTATTTTGTTTGCATTGGTGTTTTTCAGGCATATTATATCTGTGTGAGGGTATCAGACTTCTAGTTACAGACAGTTGTTAGCTGCCATGTGGGTGCTGGGAATTGAACTCAGGATCTCTGGAAGATCAGTCAGTGCTCTTAACCACTGAGCCATCTCTCCAGCCCTCCAAGACCCTAGTTTAACACAGAATTATGGAAGCTCAGCAGGCAAAGGTACCTGCCACTAGATCTGACAACCTGAGCTGAATCCCAGACACCCACATAGTTGGAAAGAACTGATTCGTGAAAGTTGTCCTCTGATCCCCACATTCCAGCCATGGGCCCCACCGCATTAATAAATAAAATATATATTTCTTTAACCATTGCAGAACATGGGAGCAGAACCTCAACAGAGGGAAGACAGCACTGCCAGAGGTGTGGCACAGATTAAAGCAAGCCTGCACACAGTGTAAGAACATGTGCACAGGCCTCCAGCAGTTGCAGTCATTAAACACTCTAGTGTAAGCACAGACACAGTCGCCAACAGCACAGGTGCCCACAGGGTCTTCGGAGTACCTTTAAAGGTGTCCCTCTTCTTTGACTAAAGCCAGACACAGACAGCAGAGTGTCAGTAGTACAGGAAAAATGACACACCTGGGAGAAGCCAGGTGGATTCCCAAAGTATACATACTTTCCATAAGAGGTGTCTTTTAATACCAGTTCCGGAGCTCTGTACCAGCGAGTGGCCACGTAATCTGTGTAGACATCCCCAGGAGCCGCTAGTGTCCTTGCAAACCCAAAATCACAGAGTTTAGTAATTCCTGACTGGGAGACTAAAATATTTTCAGGCTTTATATCTCGATGGATAATCTAAAAACAAACAGAAAATTTGACATATTAAAATAGTTTCATTTTATATAGAATCAAAAACTATTCAGAGGAAAATCTGGCTCACAGTTAAGACAGTGAAGACATTTCCTAATCATGGGTAAAATAGTTACATATTCTCCATCCATCATTTCCAAATGAAATGAAGCCAAAATAGACACTGAAAGGGTGAATCTGTTGTGGAATATTACTTTAACTATGTAAAGATGTGTTACATTTGTTTATGTGGCATTTATTTAATTATGTAAAGATGTGTTGCTGTTTCACCTTACCTACTTAAGGCTCCTGATTGATCTAATTGGCCTAATAAAAAGCTAAACAGCCGCCGGGCATTGGTGGCGCACACCTTTAATCCCAGCACTTGGGAGGCAGAGGCAGGCGGATCTCTGTGAGTTCGAGGCCAGCCTGGTCTACAAGAGCTAGTTCCAGGGCAGCCTCCAAAGACACAGAGAAATCCTGTCTTGAAAAACCAAAAATAAATAAATAAATAAATAAAATAAATAAAACTTAAAAAAAAAAAGCTAAACGGCCAATAGTTAGGCAGGAGAGGGATAGGCCGTACTGCTGGACAGATGTTTAGATCTGAGTGCTGCTCTGTAGTGTGGATACAGCATACACCAGCTGGTGAACTTCTAGCTTGTTACTAGTTCAGAATTTATGAATAATATTGCTGTCAACAGCTTTATTTATTTTGGTGGTGGTGGTTGTTTTAAAGAAAATACCACTGGGCGTGTTGGTGCTTGCCAACACTTAGCACTCAGGAGGCAGAGGCAGGACTCTCTTTAAGTTCAAGGCCAGCCTGATGTACAAAGCCAGTTTTGGAGAAACCATCTTGAAAAACCAAAAAGGAAGGAAGGAAGGAGGGAGGGAGGGAGGGAGGGAGGGAGGGAGGGAGGGAGGGAGGGAGGGAGAAAATTGCGAAGCTGTTTTCCAAAGTGACAGTATCATTTTGGCTTTTGGTAGAACTTTAGCAAGTGACAGGCTACCTGATTATCATGAATTCCAGACCAGCCACACCTACTTAGCAGGTATGTATAGGATGGGTAGGTAAGCCCAGAGAGATATGGAAAACTCTGATTTCTGTAACTGCCACATTATTTTAAATATCCTGTTTTCAACAAAAAGTTAGGGGCATGTAAAAAATGTGTCAGAAAACAGAACACTCACTCAGTAACTCAGTAGATGTGTTTCTAAGAATTCAACACTGTACTTGCTGAATAGCTTTTAAATCAATTTAATTATTTATTCCTTTTTGTTAGCATATAGTACTTGTATAAAACGGTGGATCTCTCATGACATTCTTTTGCTTTCTGAGACAGGATCTCACTTAAGTGCTGGCTGTCCTGAAGCTCACTATATAGATGAGGTTGCAGTCTGCCTGCTTCTGCTTCTGGAGCACTGGGATTAAAGGAGAGCATCACTGTCCCTCCTGACTTTTCTTTTTAAATGTTTATAGATTTTCATTTCTTTTGTGTGCACATGTGCTCTGGAAAACTGTCCAGGGCAACTGTGTAATCATGTCTTCTCCTCCCTGACTTACTGCCACCCTCTAAAGTCCCCTGCTCAGGTTGACTTCCATCTTACAGTAGCAGCCTGGGTACACTTCTCTAATGAACTCCTAGCTACATTTCAATCCAGCTTACTTTATCTCATCCTCAATACTTTGCTGTTTGTCTGGCCCACACTCCCTGCAGACACCATCCATGCATTTACACTTTTCAATTTGCCGGGAGTGTTGGGGGAGGGCACATTCTATCTACAGCCTATTTGGTATTATATTTCACTTTTTCTTTTTGGTTTTTCAAGACATTTCTCTGTACAGCCCTGGCTGTCCTGGAACTTGTTCTGTTGACCAAGCTAGCCTCAAACTCAAAGACCAATCTGCCCCAGTGCTGGAATTAAAGGCATGTGTCGTCACTGCTCAGCAAGTTATTTGCTTTTTTAAAGTCAGTAAGGTATGGTCATGTTATTTTACAGATAAGAAAGGGAAGCTTAACAAGGTTAAGTCTCAATGAGTGTTGTGGTGCTAGCCTTTAGTCCCAGCACTCAGGAAGCAAAGGTAGGCAGACCTCTGTATGTTTGAGGCCAGGCTGGTCTGCATAATGAATTCTAAGACAGTCAGAACTACGTGAGAGACCCTGCCTCAAAACAAACAAATAAAAACAAACTGCACATGTAGCACTGCTGGTCTGAACTTGCAGTGATCCTCCTGCTGTGGCCTGCTGAGTGCAAGTGTGTACCACATACTCAACTCTATATGCTCCTGATGATCTCATAACTGCCTCCTCTTGGATCTAGGGGGCAAGGACATTATCACATGAACTAATACGTAGTTTTCAAAGCCATAACAAAATGACCTCTGATATACAAGCCAGTGGCTCACACTATGATGCTAGTACTCTGAAGCCTAAGGCAGAAGACCTGGAACTTAAGGTTAGCCTGGGATACATAATGAATTTGGCATTAGCCTGGGCTACCCATTGAGAACTTTGTTTCAAAAAACAAAGGATTTTACTACTTTTTCCTAGATATATAATTTATTGCTAGTTCCTGGCTATTTGTATTTTCCAGAAAGTACAGCCATCTGAAAAAAATAAAGTGCCACAAAAAACTGCTGAACTAGGCTGGGCTTTGGTGGTGCATGCTTTTAATTCCAGCATTTAGGAGGCAGAGGCAGAGGCAGAGGCAGAGGCAGAGGCAGCAGGATCTTTGTGAGTTCAAGGTCAGTCTGGCCTACACAACAGGTTTCAGACCATGTCTCAAAAACCTCAATGAGCTACATTACTATTTAAATACTACTGAAGTCAGTACTAAAATTAGCTGGGCTTTTTCTCCTTGATTATTTCACAGGTCAAGTGGTGACACTTTGCTCTGTCTTCTTCCCCAAAGACATCCACTGACTGCCATCCCCTATCTAACGTCTACCTCCTGATCCCAAATCTCCCTTCATTTAAAGGGATCTTCCATGAAAGCACAGCTCATTTTCTCAGAGATGTTCTTCAGTTCAATGGTGATTCCTTTAAACCAAATCATTGATACTGCTTTTAGTATCTGCCACTGACTGGATGTGAAGTATCCCCTTCAAAAAGGCTCATTGAAGGGTATATTCCCACTGCTGCTACTGGAGGTGGCTCGCTTCAGGAGGATGTCTAGCTAGAAGTGGGTTATCAGGGCATATGCTTGAAGGAACCCTTTCTCTTTCTGTTCCTTGTCTACCATGATATAAGCACACTGTTCCATGCTCCTACAGCCAAGATGCTCGAAGAGAATTATGGGCTGAAATCATGAGGCAAAACAATAATTCCTCCCTTTAAGTTATTCTAACAGTTATCATTACTGTTACTAAATAATAAATGCTTCTGGGTTCTGCAAATAAAATGAAAGGCAATATCCCCCTTCTCATTTTCAGGAAGCTTATTAGTATTACACACAGAAATTTCTTAGCCACCTTCATAAAAACAGAACTATTCACATGGCACTGGTGAGTCATACCCATGCCAGCTGGGCTCACTCTGAAGCACTTACATTATTATTGTGAAGGTACTCAATTGCTCGGAGAATCTGGAACAGGTACTTTCTCAATCGCTTACTCTCTAGTCCATGACAGTAATGCTGTAACTCATCTAAGACCGTGTGGTCAATAAATTCAAATACCAAATGAATTTTCTTTTTTTGTCTAAAAACTTCAATCAGATTGACCAGGTTTTCATGACGAAATTGCTATTAATAAAAGAAACAAGAGTTTTAAATAAAATTGTTGGAAACAGTAATTCAAACACCTATATAATTTTGAAAGGAAACAGCAACAGTTTCAGATTATTTTCTTTCAACAGAAATGTCTCAAGTGATCTGGTACATTCTTAATGTATAAAAATTACTGTAAGCAGTTTCTTGTAGAGACAGGGGAGACATGTTGACATCTGATTGATTATTGAAATAATTTAGAACTAACATACTACAATGTAATAAGAAATGTTTTACTACCTTTTAATTTGGTTTGTGTTTAACACATGGGTCAGGCATGATGGCATGGGCCTTTAATGTCAGCTTGGAAGGCAGAGCCAAGCCAATCTCTTGAGTTCAAAGCCAGCCTACTCTACACAGGTAGTTCCAGGGTAGGCAGAGCTACAGACAGAGACCTGGTCTCAAAGCAAAACAAACAAATAAAAACCAATCAATAAAATAAAATGGATCTTGTTTTATGTTTGTTATCTTTGTAGTTGTTTTTCTTACTTTGATTTTTCAGAGACAAGGGATTGCTATGTATTCCAGGCTAGACCAGAACTCACACCTTTTCTGCTTCAGCTTCTGGAGTGCTGAATGCTGGGATTAAATGAGGAATGCTGGAATTAAAGATATAAGTCACCACATTCATGTGGTTGTTTTGTTTTCTGGAAACTGAACTTGGGGTCTTCTCACACACTGAGCTGAATGTATCTAGCCCCTAAGGTCCTCATGCTTTCCAATGAGCATGATTTTTTAAAAATCTTTTTTATTTAAATTAGAAACAAGCTTGCTTTACAAGTCAATTCCCTCTCCTTCCCCTCCTCCCCCAAACTCCACCAACTCCTCCAACCCCCCACCCAATCCCCACTCCATTCCCCAGGGAGGGTGAGGCCCTCCATGGGGGATCTCCAGAGTCTGTCATTTCATCCAGGGCAGGGCCTAGGCCCTCCCCCAGAGCATGAATTTTTGTATTTTAAGAATATATATGAGTGTTGGTCTACATGTATATGTGTACCATGTGCATGCCTGGCACCCAGAGGTCAGAAGAGGATGACATCGAGTCCACTGGAACTGGAGTTAAGAATGGTTGTGAAGCACCAGTGGGTGCTGGGAAGCAAACGTGGGTCTTCTGCAAGAGCAAGTGCTCTTAACCACCGAGCCGCTTCACCCCAAGCTTAGATTTCAACATCAGTAAGCACCTGCTATACATTTACACAACTTACTCTCTAATTTTCTCTTAAACTGTAGAGAACAAAGTCAGGCAGTGGTGCCACACGTCTTTAGTCCCAACACTGGGGAAGCAGACACAGGCAGAGTTCGAGGCCGGCCTGATCTACAAAGCTACACAGAGAAAGCCTGACTCGAAAAATCCAAAAATATAAAATGTAGAGAATAAACCATAAGTTTTAGGGGCCATTTATTAACTCATTTCATAAGCAAAAGAATACCAAAAATATGTTTTGGTTTTTTTTTTTTTTTTTTTTTTGGTTTTTCGAGACAGGGTTTCTCTGTATTGTTTTGGAGGCTGTCCTGGAACTAGCTCTGTAGACCAGGCTGGGTTCTCGAACTCACAGAGATACTGCCTGCCTCTGCCTCCCAAATGCTGGGATTAAAAGCGTGTACCACCACCGCCTGGCTAGGGGACTTCTTTTTTAACATATTTAATTACATTTTTTTTCTATTACTAGATAACCTTTCCACAGCTATTCTAACTGCTGACGGTAATTTACTCAGATTCTACCACAAAAATTTAGGTAAAGTTGAATTATTTGGGCAATCATTTTAGGTTAAGACTACTAACAAATGCAAGAACCTCTTACTAGATTATGCTAAATTGAAAAGAGGTATGTGCTGGCACATGCCTGTACTCCCAGGGCTCCAAAAGCTGAAGCAGAGTGAGGAAAACTGAGTTCAGCTTGAGATATACAATGAGTTCCAGGCTAGTTGGGACTAATCAATAAAATTTTGTGTAAAAAGAAGGGGCCTGGAAGGATGAAACAGCGATTAAAAGTACTGGCTGATCTTCCAGAGGACTCTAGTTCTTTTAGATTTATTTATTTTACTATTTTATGTATATGAGTTTACTTTCATATAGTTCTGTACACCAGATGCATGGCTGATGCCCAGGAAGGTCAGAAGAGAAAATCAAATACCACCATGTGGCCTCTAGGAATGGAACCCAGGTCCTCTGGAAGAGCAACAATTACTCTTTTGTTTTTGTTTTTGTTTTTTGAGACAGGGTTTCTCTGTATTGTTTTTGGAGGCTGTCCTGGAACTCGCTCTGTAGACCACGCTGACCTCAAACTCACAGAGATCCGCCTGCCTCTGCCTCCCAAGTGCTGGGATTAAAGGCATGCACCACCAAAGCCCGGCCAACAATTACTCTTAACAGCTGATGAGTCAACTCACAGGTTCCTAGCTCACAGCTCTGTAACACCAGTTCCAGGTAATATGACACTTTCTTCTGGCCTCTGTGGGCACTACACCAACATAGTATAAACATACAGGCAAAACATCCATACACATAAAACACCCACACACATACAGTGAAAATCTTTTAAGTAAAAAAAAAATATTTTAAGCCAGGCACTGGTGGCGCATAGTATTCTTTTTAGAAGCAAACTGATTTATATCCGTAATACAAATAAAAAGAAAGAAAATGCTGGGCAGTATGTTCCCAGCACTCAGGAGGCAAAAGCCAACAGATTTCTGAGTTTGAAGCCAGCCTAGACCATACAGAGTGAGTTCCAGGACAGCCAGGGCTATACAGAGAAACCCTGTTTTGAAAACCCAAAAATAAAAGAAAGAAAATGCTTCTTTTGTACCAAATAAAGATAGGCATGAATAGTTGTACTCTTCATCACATATAAAACATCTGGACTCAAAGCACCTAGATTCCAGTAAAATAGAACATCTGTATTTGGAGGCTTTGTTTTCAGTTTCAGTCTCCAGTTTTGGACCAGGTCCCCAAGGAATGTTCACACTCTTCACCTCATCATGATGTTCTTTGCCCAAGTAGACCTATCACACCTGATCTCTCTTGATACTGTTTGTAGAAGCCTAATAGTCTTTAGTTAAATATTCCTGTCATCTCCAGGTCCACATTTCCAAAACTGAACTAGTTCTCAAATTCTCTTCTAACTTACACCAACTGCAGCATTCTCTGGACTTCAAGGACATCTCCAACTCTTTTCCCTATGTCATTTACACTGCTGAATTCTAAAAAAGGCCTCACGATATGAGCAGGATCCTTGAATTAAATTCTTTATCAGACCTCTTGAGGTTTCAGTCTTCTAATACACTCTACAGAGCACTGCCGCATTAATACTTAACAGATTAATTCTTTACAATTAATTTAAATCTTCACTTTTCATCTCTTAAAAAATCAGGTTTGTGCTTTTGAGACAGGGTGTCATGTATCTCAAGCTGGCTTAGAACTCAATATAAACCACTCAGTTTTATGTGGTTCTGGGGATCAAACCCAGGGCTTCATGGCAAGCACTCTGCCAACTGAACTACTATGAATCAAGCCCTCAAACCAAGTTTCAACTTCCTAGCCTAAAACATTTTAAAACGAACTTCCAATTTACTGCAATAATCACACCTCTTTCTGAATCTATAAGAGAAACTCACAAGTGAGTTTCTCTTCTATTCCTTTTCACTCTTGCTTTGTCTGTTTTAGTCTTTCTGAGCATATGCTGTTCCCATTCCCCTAACCCAGAACTCAGCAACAGCTCTACTGCACCCAAATGCTACACACCCTTCAAGGCCAAGAACATACCATATTTTCTTCAAGAAACCTACCCTGGCAAACTGAATTTTGTGGTACTTAATATTAACCATTAAAACAAAAAAAAAAAGAGGGTGTGGGTATGTGAGTATGCACACATGCCTGCAGGTGTCCCTGGAGGCCAAAGAGAGCTGCAGGGCAGGCAGTTTGAGCCTCCTCAAACCGGTCGGGGAACTACTCTAGTCCCCCACAAGCAGCAAGTGGTCTTAACCACAGAGTATGAACCACTCTCACTCAGGATTGTTTCTATGCACCCTCCTGCCTGGTTATAAGTCTTCAAGGAATAAATTTTTACTTCTTTCTAGTCTTAGCTTCTTCCACAATCCCTTGTATAAAGCGGAACTTTTTTAAGTGTTACAGTTGAATAGTTCTGAATGTCTTCACAATATTATAATTCTGCTATACAGAAGCACACAGATCGCTTATCACTAAAAAAAATTACAAATTGTAGACAATGAGAATTTCTCTATGCAGGTCTTAGTATATCTGTTAATGGAAATGTTCTTTCATAATTTAGTTTTTATTCTATAACAATTTCTCCTTTAATCCCAGCACTCAAGGCAGAGGCAGGAGGATCTCTATGAGTTTGAGGCCAGCCTGGTCTACAGAGCAGAGTTCCAGGACAGGATCCAAAGCTACACAGAAAAACCCTGCCTTGAAAAAAAAACAAAAAACAAAAAAACAATTTCTCTCTTGACTTATACTATCAGGGCAAAAGCCGCCTGGTGTTGTGATGTAGCCTGTAAATATCAACACTGGAAAAATTAAGTGTTCTAGGCCAGCCTGGGCTTCATATTTTCCCAAGGGGGGGAAATATATGTATATAAAATAAAAAGCAAAAGAAACAAACCTTTAGAAACTTTATTTCTCTCGTTGCAATTTTGTTGACAGATTTTTCTGGTTTCTCATAGAATATCTTAATGGCCACTATCCGCCCAGTATCCTTATGTTTGCATTTCATGACCGTTCCGTAACTTCCCTCTCCCACTTTTCCAAGAGTTTCATACATCTCCATTTTCAAGGCTGGTTTCTGCTACACAGAAATAAAGAAAATGTTAAAAACTCACACCTTACAATTTTAAGCTGGATAATGTATTGATAGAAGAACAAAAACCAGTAAAGTTGGCTACAACACAGCCTGTTCATGGGAACTCTTCGGTTGTTGGAGAAGCTCCAACTTTCACCTGAACACAGGGGTGTCCTGCATTTATCTGGCATTTTGGGACTGAGAAATTAAAGGAAGGTCTGACTCACGCTTAATTCAGAAATCCTTTTAGAATACGGGATTTAGAATATGAGTTCCCTTTCATAAAGCAGCAACGACAACGGAAGCCGGGTTAAAAAGTCCCACTAACGCTGGGCATTGGTGGTGCATGCCTTTAGTCCCAGCACTCGGGAGGCAGAGGCAGACGGATCTCTGTGAGTTCGAGACCACCCTGGTCTACAAGAGCTAGTTCCAGGACAGCCTCCAAAACCACAGAGAAACCCTGTCTCGAAAAACAAAAACAAAAAAAGTCCCACTAACTGCGGATCCGTTGAGGCTACGTACGCTCCACCAAGCGTGGGAACCCCACTTCGGTACTGCAGTCACACACGCGTCCCACTCTCCCCTCAAACCCACAGTCTAAGCAGCCCCGACCGGAGTCGGGCTGTCGACCTCGTCCGGAAAGCCGCCGCCACCTCAACCCATCCTGTAGTCCCGCAGGCCCGACTCTAAGAGCCAGCGGGCCATAGGACGCCACGCCTCCTTTCAGGGCCGACCTCGCCGGCTCTGGGCGGCCCGGTGCCCTGGCAACGGAGTGGGGGCGGGGCCTGACCGCATTGGAACCGCAGTACGCAAGACTGGAAATCGCTGGGGTCCCGACCCGGAAAGGAAAGTGACATGAAGCGGAAACTAGATGCAAGGGGAGGGGTGCAGGAGCCTAGGTTGCTTGCCGAATGGGGAAGGCGGTTTCTGTGGCAGATTGAACGCCCTTGTGGGCTCATTCTGCGCTGAGAAGGGAGCGTTTTGTCGCCAGGCTGACTGACTGCAGGTCACCTGTTTGTGCCTGGTCCTAAGAGGTTGATTTCCAGTAAAGACAACTGGTCCAAGGAAGACTTGTGACTACAGTTTGCCAACGGTATTTTAATACTCCATACATCTGATTTCGACCTCAGAGTCGACATTGATCCTTAAACCGGACAAAATGGTTCTGGGGCAAGGGGCGTAGCGCAGTGGTAAGCCAAAAAACTCAGCGCTCGGCTACTCCCCTGACTTATTTCTAACACCAATTCTTTAACACTCTCGATATTCCTATGTATTTTCTAACTACTGGTAATCCTTTTCTGTTTTGAGACAGGTCTACTTTGTAGCTCTGGCTGGCCTGGGGCTCACCATGTTGACCAGGCTGGCCTTGAACTCCCAAGAGCTCATCTGCCTGCTTTAAGTGCTGGCCCTAGCAGTCCTTTAAAAAAAGTTTTCTCACTACACATGAAACGCAAAACTTTTTAGGAGAGCAAATAATTCACTGGGCGGAGTGATACACAAGGACATTTAAATAACCCGTAAAGGGCTCCACTTCTGGAGATCCCGGTTTACCTGGGATGATAGTAAAATTAGGTCAACTGGATAGATAGCTCAGTAGGAAAAGGCTAGGAAGCCTGACGACTAGATATCAATCCCTTGGGTCTGCTTGGTGTAAAGAGAACCAGCTTTAAGACAAAGGAAGTACATGGAATTTGGCAAAATATTTCATCTTGGAAAAATCCATTTCTAAATTATTAGATAAGCAACAGGATATGAATAAAAAATGTCTCAAGCATTTCACTGCATATAATCCCACATGTTTGTCTTCCTTCTTAACCATGTGGAAGATCAGGATTGGTATGGTTGGATGGCAAATTAATAATTTTAAAAAGGAGCCGGGCGTTGGTGGCGCATGCCTTTAATCCCAGCACTGGGGAGGCAGAGGCAGGCAGACCTCTGTCAGTTTGAGACCACCCCGATCTACAGAGCGAGTCCCAGGACAATCTCCAAAGCCACAGAGAAACCGTGTCTCAAAAAACCAAAATAATAGCTGGGCGGTGGTGGCGCACGCTTTTAATCCCAGCACTCGGGAGGCAGAGGCAGGCAGATCTCTGTGAGTTCGAGGCCAAGCTGGACCGATAGCCTCGTAAAAACCAAAAAAAAAAAAAAAAGAAAGAAAGAAAGAAAGAAAGAAAAAAACCAAAATAATAATAATGATAAGTAAATAAAATTAAAAAGGCAAGGCACTTGTTACCTATGCTAGCTACTCAAAGGGGGTTGAAGGCCAGCCTAGGAAACTTAAGGAGGCTGTCTCACTATTTTTCCACAACAGTATCTCTCCATGCAGATCATGGTGGCATGGAGTTTGCAATCCTGTCACCACCTGTGCAGTGCTGAGGGTGTGCTTGTGCACTGTCATACCCCGATCGATAAAAATATAAAGGGCCCGCCAGGCGGTGGTGGCGCACACCTTTAATCCCAGCAGAGGCAGAGTCAGGTGGATCTCTGTGAGTTCGAGACCAGCCTGATCTACACGAGCTAGTTCCAGGACAGCCTCCAAAACCAGAGAAACCTTGTCTCGCAAAAACCATATATATATATATATATATATATATATATATATATATATATATATATCGCTATGGCCCTGTGAGGGCCTAGGGTTCTATCGCACACATCAAAAAGGAGAAAAGGCTATTTAACTTTTAATTTAGTCGCATTGTGAGTGCACAGCAGCGGCTACGGAGCTAGACCTACCTAACAATCGTCAAGGTTTTCTTTTCGGTGGTGGGGGCGGGGAAAGAAATGACGTCCTCAGGCCGCTCAGGGTGGCTGCCATTCCACTGTTACTGAGGCTACCCTTAAACTCCTTATCCTTTCCAGTACTTGAATGGTGGGATAAGCAGAAGATGCACCACACATCGGGTTCTCAAGGTTACTTTAAATCAAGAGAATTCAGAGTTTGGAGAAAGGAGAGATGAAGACAGTAGCACTCGTAAACCCTTCCTGGTTTCACGGGAGTATGGGCAGGAGTGGAGCGGGGCATTCTCATTCCTTTCCTCCTTCTAGAGCTAATTATTCCGCGTCTACTAAAATGTTCGGTACCCCAGAGTAGCAAATTCTCACAACTGGAGCTAGAAACGGAGGGTGGGTATTCTGACTCGGAAAAGGAGGAGCCTGCTGCGCATCATCACCCACGACCGGGCACTTCCGGTTCTTTTGCAGCCTCCTTGCAATTATTTAAAACCTGTACTGAGTTATCTTAGACTAAAGAAGTACCTCCCACTTATGTCTGCACGGTCTCTCCCCAATCTGAATCATTTTTGTAGGTTTGGCGACCAGCAGCCCACTGATACGCTCTAAAATCACACCCCCATATTTCTTGAGAAGTACAATTGTGCCTCAAACGCAGGCAGATTCAGATCCCAATTTCCTTAATTCTGTGCAGTCTTTAAGGCTGGGACAGTTTATTCCATTCCCATTTCCGTATCCCACTAGCACGAACAGGCTACTGGTCCCAGTGCCCGTGAGCCCATCTCATTTGCGCCGAACTTAGTTAGCAGTCAAAGATATTTATTGTAAGTCTACGCGACCCTTTGAGTACCTGCTCCACGTACCAGAGTTGCTAAGTCACTTGGAACTGAGAATTAAATCCAGGTTTTTTTTTTGTTCCGTTCTTTAGACTTAGAACACAAGCGGCTCCTTCCACAACGTCTGTTTAGGCAAAGTCCTTGTACTTGGAACCAAAAGAACGAAGTATAACTAGAGGTGTCAAGCCCTGAAACTCAACGACCCGCCTCCTTAGATCTAAAACCAAGAGCTAGCTGACGCTGTCACGTGACCTGTTCTAATGGCGTCACAGGAACACGTGGTTCTAGATACTTCGCTCCCTCCCCCTCAGGGGTGGATTGTTGACAACGCCGCCGGTGGTCACGTGACCTGACGTCATCCCACCTCCTCTCCCTGAAATCTCAGGCTCCGGATGCGTCCGTCTCTCCCCGTCCGGCCGAACCTGAAACTAGCGACGGGGGTTGAGAGGCAAGGTAGCGTGTGGCCTCCAGCGGCCTTGTGCCTGCTGTGTCAGCGTGAGCAGGGAACGCACTCTGCTCAGCTCCCCACAGGAAACCGGCCCGGAAGACAGCCCCTCGAGCCGGCCGGTGCCGCGCGCGCGCCCGCTCGCCCCGCCCCTTCCCCCCTCCTCCCACGGTGGTACTGGCGGAGGGCGGAGGGATCTGGAGGCGGCGGAGGGAGACGTCATTGCAGGGTTGTTTGTGCAGTCTCGGCGGCGGCGGCACTCACAGTGATTCGGCCGCTGCGCCGGGGGGTGGGGGGGCCAAACGGGACTCTTTTCTTTCAGACTGACCGCGGGGCAGCTGCGGAGCATGTCGACCCCGGCCCGTAGGAGGCTCATGCGGGATTTCAAGCGGTAAGGGCCCTCGCATTAGTCCAATATGACGGTTCCTTCCCGAATCCGTGGGACTGCAGGGCGGGGATCCGGGACATAGTCCCCTGTTGACCCTGAGGGGGTGGACTGTGGGCCTGCGGGATCCGCGGCAGTCCCGGTTTACCGGCGGCTCCCACTCCCTAGCCTGGTACCGCCTTTTGAGTAAAGGAGGTCGGTACTACTGCCTCCTGCCCTTCCCCCAAAGAAGAAGGTGGCCATCGCTGGGCCTAGGTGTCCCCAAGGCCCACCTAGGCCAGATGCCGCCGTCCCACCTCCCGCCTCTGTGCCCTGCGGCGTCCCCTCCCCAGCCGGTGCGAGTGAGCGCCTCGGGCTGGGGCCTGGCTTGGTAGACCAGTCCAGCTTTGTTACAGCGCCCCGTGGCCTCCCATTTGTATTGGGGTTAGGGTGAATATTGTCCCTCGTCCCTTCCCTTTCTGCAGTGATGAGGGTGGGGTCTGCTGCGCGAGGGCCGGAGGTGGTTAGCCCATCCCCCGAAACCCGATTCTGCCCCCGCCCACCTGGAAGGACCTTGAGAACTGGCTCGGGAAACCTGGCCCAGGAGATGGCCACTCGTGCTGCCAGTGCCTTCTGGAACCGAGATCTGGCTGCCGAATAAAAGCCTATCTATAGCCTCCCTAGCCTGGAAAAATGCCTTCCGTCAGCCTGATGCTAATCTGATACTCCACCTGGGCCTCCTTTTGGAAAATAGTGGTTTGTTGGGAAATACGGGGCTTGGAGGAAGAAAACGACCTCTTCCCTCCTCTTCCAGTTGTTTATCTTTCCTTGGAAACGTACGAGTGCATAAACAGTACCTAAAGTCCAGCGTCCAGATAGTTTTCTTTTTTGGGCAGACCTGCCGTGATTGAGACAAATCTGTAATACAGAAACTTAGATTTGCCACTCAGGAAGTAACCTCTTAACTTCACCACTCTAGAGCCCTGTGTGAGGCATTTAGAAGCCAGTCTTGGACCCTAGACATCATTTAATTCATTTAACCACGTAAAAGTGGGGAGTCAAGCAATAAGTAGTTCCTGTAAGCCCTATCAGCAGCCTAATCTGCTTGAGAGTGACCAAACAGTACACTTTTTATGTGGACTGATAGCCAAGTGTCCTACCATCTGAAAATAACGTGTGTGTAATGGAGAAGTTCGTTTTGTTTTTTTAATCTGACAGGCAAGGATGCCCTTTTTTGGTGCAAAAGTCACCCAGGGCTTGAAGTCACTATATTTGATTTAGCTCCTTGAAAGTAAAACTTACCAGTTACATCCATTATTATCTCTTGCTGGTTTTTGCAATTCCTGTATTTGATTCTGAGTTGGTGATTTTCCAAGGATCTTCACATTACAGGAATT